CTGGTGTCCTGGTGTCTCCTACAGGAGGGAGGTGGACCGGCTGGTGTCCTGGTGTCTCCTACAGGAGGGAGGTGGACCGGCTGGTGTCCTGGTGTCTCCTACAGGAGGGAGGTGGACCGGCTGGTGTCCTGGTGTCTCCTACAGGAGGGAGGTGGACCGGCTGGTGTCCTGGTGTCTCCTACAGGAGGGAGGTGGACCGGCTGGTGTCCTGGTGTCTCCTACAGGAGGGAGGTGGACCGGCTGGTGTCCTGGTGTCTCCTACAGGAGGGAGGTGGACCGGCTCGTGTCCTGGTGTCTCCTACAGGAGGGAGGTGGACCGGCTCGTGTCCTGGTGTCTCCTACAGGAGGGAGGTGGACCGGCTGGTGTCCTGGTGTCTCCTACAGGAGGGAGGTGGACCGGCTGGTGTCCTGGTGTCTCCTACAGGAGGGAGGTGGACCGGCTGGTGTCCTGGTGTCTCCTACAGGAGGGAGGTGGACTGGCTGGTGTCCTGGTGTCTCCTACAGGAGGGAGGTGGACCGGCTGGTGTCCTGGTGTCTCCTACAGGAGGGAGGTGGACCGGCTGGTGTCCTGGTGTCTCCTACAGGAGGGAGGTGGACCGGCTGGGTCCTGGTGTCTCCTACAGGAGGGAGGTGGACCGGCTGGTGTCCTGGTGTCTCCTACAGGAGGGAGGTGGCCCGGCTCGTGTCCTGGTGTCTCCTACAGGAGGGAGGTGGACCGGCTCGTGTCCTGGTGTCTCCTACAGGAGGGAGGTGGACCGGCTCGTGTCCTGGTGTCTCCTACAGGAGGGAGGTGGACCGGCTGGTGTCCTGGTGTCTCCTACAGGAGGGAGGTGGACCGGCTGGTGTCCTGGTGTCTCCTACAGGAGGGAGGTGGACCGGCTGGTGTCCTGGTGTCTCCTACAGGAGGGAGGTGGACCGGCTGGTGTCCTGGTGTCTCCTACAGGAGGGAGGTGGACCGGCTGGTGTCCTGGTGTCTCCTACAGGAGGAGGTGGACCGGCTGGTGTCCTGGTGTCTCCTACAGGAGGGAGGTGGACCGGCTGGTGTCCTGGTGCAGTGGTAACAACCTGGAGCTGAACGCCCAGAAGACAGTGGAGATGATTGTGGACTTCAGGAAGAGCACTGTCCCCCCGCCCCCACCCTCCGTGATGGACTCCCCCATCACCTCTGTGGAGTCCTTCCGTTTCCTGGGCACCACCATCACCCAGGACCTCAAGTGGGAGCCGACCATCAGCTCCCTCATCAAGAAGGCCCAGCAGAGGATGTACTTCCTGCGGCAGCTCAGGAAAGCCAAGCTGCAGTTCTACACGGCCATCATTGAGTCCATCCTCACCTCCTCCATCACCTCCTCATCACCTCCTCCATCACCTCCTCCATCACCTCCTCCATCACCGTGTGGTTCGCTGGAGCCACAGTCAGGGACAAACAGAGACTACAGTGCATTGTGCGCTCTGCAGAGGAAGTGATCGGCCGCAGCCTTCCATCGCTGCAGGACCTGTACGTCGCCCGAGCTCGAGGCCGGGCTGGTCGTATCACAGCCGACCCCTCTCACCCTGCACATGGACTATTCCAACCACTCCCCTCTCACCTGCACATGGACTATTCCAACCACTCCCCTCTCACCTGCACATGGACTATTCCAACCACTCCCCTCTCACCTGCACATGGACTATTCCAACCACTCCCCTCTCACCTGCACATGGACTATTCCAACCACTCCCCTCTCACCTGCACATGGACTATTCCAACCACTCCCCTCTCACCTGCACATGGACTATTCCAACCACTCCCCTCTCACCTGCACATGGACTATTCCAACCACTCCCCTCGCACCTGCACATGGACTATTCCAACCACTCCCCCTCACCTGCACATGGACTATTCCAACCACTCCCCTCAGGCAGGAGGTTGCGGTCCATCAGGACTAGAACCTCCCGCCACAAGAACAGTTTCTTCCCCTCTGCTGTTGGACTCTTGAACACTTCATAATCACTGACCTCTGACCTCTGACCTTATGACTGTCCACGTTCAGCGGCCACTGGTCCACGTTCTGTAGCTAGCTTAGGTCCTAGATCATTAGCCTGTCCGTCCGGAGGAGCGGATCCCTTTCTCATATGGGTCTCCCTCCCTGTGGGTTTCCCTAGTTCTCCTCCAAGGTTTCTCACTTTTTCCCACTGGGTTTTTTAAGAGTTGTTCCTTGTCGATGCAGGAGGGTCTTGTTGGACAGTTAGTGTCCAACAGAAAGGATTGGTGATGATCAGGACACTTTAGCATTCTACAACATGTATGGACATTTTCTTCTGTGTGTGCTTTATATTCTTCATGTGTTTTAACTGTTGATTCTCTGACCTGTGTTGGTGATTTCAATGGTTTTGTTAAGTCTCTGAGATGACTTCTGTTGTGACCTAGGGCTATACAAGAATACATTGTATTGTATTGTATTGTATGACTGTCACTTTACTGCACTCTCCCGCTCTCTTACGAGTCTGTTGAGAGCACATAGTGCAGTTAGTAAACATAGTAAACAGAAGACATGTATGTAGACTTTTATTTATGCCTTTAATTTTATTCTGATTAAACTTGTTTGCACCGAGAGCCAGAGGAATTTCCTAATTTATGGCAATAAAAGGATTCTGATTCTGAAAAATGAAACTGGTCCTTTCCACACGTGTCGATTGGAAAGTGACTCCTCCTCGGCCGTTTCACAGATTTGCTTCAAAATCGCTCCACATCGTCTTAACACATGAAAAATCATTTAGACATCACAGAATTTTGATCAGTGAAATGTTGTTCAAGCAGCGGAGCAGCAAAATGTGACTTTTTTTGGCCGTTTTTGACAATAGCAAGTTTGCTCCATTTTCCACATTCAAAGTCAGATTTGCGCAACACTTTGATTCATTGTTTAACTCCAGGGTCTAGGTCATTTGAAAGTAAAATAATTGAAATTGGCTCATCAGCGCCCCCTACAGACTATGTCAAAGTTTTACATGGGGGTAATCACATTTAGTTTTCTCAAAATGTTTAAAATTTTGCACATACTGTAATTCTGTTTTTGAAACGCTCCCCATTCTGTGTCTATGGCAAATGTACACCTCGCACAAACATCAAACCAGCCTCGGCCGTTTCTCTGATTTCGCTGAAAATTGCTCCACATCATCTCAACACATGGACCATCAAAAGTTGTTCACCAGAATTTGGATTAGTCACATGGTCATCCAATGGGGACTGTATACGGACACACGTACAGATTATACATGTGCTCCTGTTTACACAAAGTCTGATTTGTGCTATACTTGACTCTGTTGTTCTACTCCTGGGCCTGGGTCACCTGAAAGGTGTGAAATATTACATTGGCTCTTTAGCGCCCCCTACAGACTGAGCCAAAGTTTTACATGGGAGCCAAACCGACTGATCATGTTCATTACAATTTTACGAATGTTGTTCTATAGCCCTCCACTGGTCTCTCTCTGGTCCCTCTCTGGTCTCTCTCTGGTCTCTCTCTGGTCCCTTCCTGGTCTCTCTCTGGTCTGTCTCTGGTCTCTCCCTGGTCTCTCTCTGGTCTCTCCCTGGTCTCTCCCTGGTCTCTCCCTGGTCTCTCCCTGGTCTCTCCTGGTCTCTCTCTGGTCTCTCTCTGGTCTCTCCCTGGTCTCTCCCTGGTCTCTCCCTGGTCTCTCCTGGTCTCTCTTTGGTCTCTCTCTGGTCCCTTCCTGGTCTCTCTCTGGTCTGTCTCTGGTCTCTCCCTGGTCTCTCTCTGGTCTCTCCCTGGTCTCTCCCTGGTCTCTCTCTGGTCTCTCTGGTCTCTCCCTGGTCTCTCCCTGGTCTCTCTCTGGTCTCTCTCTGGTCTCTCCCTGGTCTCTCTCTGGTCTCTCTCTGGTCTCTCTCTGGTCTCTCTCTCTGGTCTCTCTCTCTGGTCTCTCTCTCTGTCTCTCTCTGGTCTCTCTCTGGTCTCTCCCTGGTCTCTCTCTGGTCTCTCTCTCTGGTCTCTCTCTCTGGTCTCTCTGGTCTCTCCCTGGTCTCTCCCTGGTCTCTCTTTGGTCTCTCTCTGGTCTCTCTCTGGTCTCTCTCTGGTCTCTCTCTGGTCTCTCTCTGGTCTCTCTCTGGTCTCTCTCTCTGGTCTCTCTCTGGCCTCTCTCTGGTCTCTCTGGTCTCTCTCTGGTCTCTCTCTGGTCTCTCCCTGGTCTCTCCCTGGTCTCTCCTTGGTCTCTCTCTGGTCTCTCTCTGGTCTCTCTCTGGTCTCTCCCTAGTCTCTCTCTGGTCTCTCTCTGGTCTCTCTCTGGTCTCTCCCTGGTCTCTCTCTGGTCTCTCTCTGGTCTCTCTCTGGTCTCTCTCTGGTCTCTCTCTCTGGTCTCTCTCTCTGGTCTCTCTCTGGCCTCTCTCTGGCCTCTCTCTGGTCTCTCTCTGGTCTCTCCCTGGTCTCTCTCTGGTCTCTCTCTGGTCTCTCTCTCTCTCTCTCTGGTCTCTCTCTCTGGTCTCTCTGGTCTCTCCCTGGTCTCTCCCTGGTCTCTCTTTGGTCTCTCTCTGGTCTCTCCCTGGTCTCTCTCTGGTCTCTTTCTGGTCTCTCTCTGGTCTCTCTCTGGTCTCTCGCTGGTCTCTCTCTGGCCTCTCTCTGGCCTCTCTCTGGTCTCTCTCTGGTCTCTCTCTGGTCTCTCTGGTCTCTCCCTGGTCTCTCTCTGGTCTCTCTCTGGTCTCTCTCTGGTCTCTCCCTAGTCTCTCTCTGGTCTCTCTCTGGTCTCTCTCTGGTCTCTCCCTGGTCTCTCCCTGGTCTCTCCCTGGTCTCTCTCTGGTCTCTCTCTGGTCTCTCTCTGGTCTCTCTCTGGTCTCTCTCTGGTCTCTCTCTGGTCTTTCTCTGGTCTCTCCCTGGTCCCTCTCTGGTCTCTCTCTGGTCTCTCCCTGGTCCCTCTCTGGTCTCTCTCTGGTCTCTCTCTGGTCTCTCTGGTCTCTAAGTCCTCTGTGTGTCTACAGGAGGATCTCTAACTCGTGGCTGAGCACAGGTTGGTTCACGATGACCATCGCCCTGGAGCTGTGCGACCGTATCAACGTGTTCGGGATGGTGGCCCCGGACTTCTGCAGGTGTGTGTGTGTGTGTGTGTGTGTGTGTGTGTGTGTGTGTGTGTGTGTGTGTGTGTGTGTGTGTGTGTGTGTGTGTGTGTGTGTGTGTGTGTGTGTGTGTGTGTGTGTGTGTGTGTGTGTGTCTGTGTGTGTGTGTGTGCGTGTGTGTGTGTGTGTCTGTGTGTGTGTGTGTGCGTGTGTGTGTGTGTGTGTGTGTGTGTGTGTGTGTGTGTGCGTGTGTCTGTGTGTGTGTGTGTGTGTGTGTGTCTGTGTGTGTGTGTGTGTGTGTGTCTGTGCGTGTGTGTGTGTGTCTGTGCCTGTGTGTGTCTGTGTGTGTGTGTCTGTGCGTGTGTGTGTGCAGAGAGAGACAGACTCTGGATTTGACCCGTCCTTCCTGAGGGCCTCTGTTGCCGTAGTAACAGGACCCCCATCTCCAGAGGTTTCTACTCTTTTCTTTCTGTCTCTGAGAGAAACAGGCACTAATCAAACATAATTCACTTTAATATCTATTCCCCGACGCTCAAAGACACTGCTCAAACACCAGCACTCGCACACTGTTCCCGTAAGTGCTTTGTTCAAGGGCACGGAGGCAGAGCGCGTTGCCAGGTCCTACAGAGTCTGTTATTATTCCTCTTTTGTGGAAGAGGCCACCTGACAACACCCGCTCTCTCCAGGCTCCATGACACTGACGTACAAGTCTGTGAGAGCTTTTCAAACACTCGACATGGATCCGAATAAAGAAAAACCAACTCAGATTCTGGTGCGAAGGGAAAAAGAATCCAAAGGTAGAGCTGAAAGATTCATTCTTTTAACGAGAAAAGACTGAAATGATAGAAACAAGATCCAAATATGTCCAGAGAAGAGTCAGGGTTCAGACTCTGAGAGAGACCAGAGAGAGAGACCAGAGAGAGACCGGAGAGAGACCAGAGAGAGAGACCAGAGAGAGACCAGAGAGAGAGACCAGAGAGAGACCAGAGAGAGAGACCAGAGAGAGACCAGAGAGAGAGACCAGAGAGAGAGACCAGAGAGAGAGAGACCAGAGAGAGACCGGAGAGAGACCGGAGAGAGACCAGAGAGAGAGACCAGAGAGAGAGACCAGAGAGAGAGGCCAGAGAGAGACCAGAGAGAGAGACCAGAGAGAGAGACCAGAGAGAGACCAGAGAGAGACCAGAGAGAGACCAGAGAGAGAGACCAGAGAGAGACCAGAGAGAGAGACCAGAGAGAGACCAGAGAGAGAGACCAGAGAGAGACCAGAGAGAGAGACCAGAGAGAGACCAGAGAGAGACCAGAGAGAGAGACCAGAGAGAGAGACTGGAGAGAGACCAGAGAGAGAGACCAGAGAGAGACCAGAGAGAGACCAGAGAGAGACCAGAGAGAGAGACCAGAGAGAGACCAGAGAGAGAGACCAGAGAGAGACCAGAGAGAGACCAGAGAGAGAGACCAGAGAGAGACCGGAGAGAGACCAGAGAGAGAGACCAGAGAGAGACCAGAGAGAGACCAGAGAGAGACCAGAGAGAGAGACCAGAGAGAGACCAGAGAGAGACCAGAGAGAGAGACCAGAGAGAGACCAGAGAGAGCCTGGAACTATTGTCAGGGTTCAGACTCGGTCCTCAGGGTTCAGACTCGATCCCTAACCCTGCCTTATTTAAATCTAAAAACCTCAGACTGTGATCCGTCCTTTGCGCAGCTAAAGCAAATGTAAAAACATAATAAAGGTCTGCTCATTAGTGACTTGACCACAGCGAGATTCAGCTTCACCAAAACAGAACCACTGCTTTTATTGGACCAGCGCCAAATCTGATCCGACGCAGAGATAAAAGGAACCAGAAGCGCCGCTGCAGCTACACTCGGTTTTGTTTTGGTTTTGGCAGAATCTGAGTCTGAATGAAAGGAGAGCGCTGGTTTGTGTTGAGACGCTGCTGTGGATCGAGATCAAGGCGAGATTATCACAGACGTCTGAAGAAAGGACTGTTTCACTGACATCACCTCCTCTGCACCTGCCACAGACTGGACAGGACTGTTTCACTGACATCACCTCCTCTGCACCTGCCACAGACTGGACAGGACTGTTTCACTGACATCACCTCCTCTGCACCTGCCACAGACTGGACAGGACTGTTTCACTGACATCACCTCCTCTGCACCTGCCACAGACTGGACAGGACTGTTTCACTGACATCACCTCCTCTGCACCTGCCACAGACTGGACAGGACTGTTTCACTGACATCACCTCCTCTGCACCTGCCACAGACTGGACAGGACTGTTTCACTGACATCACCTCCTCTGCACCTGCCACAGACGGGACAGGACTGTTTCACTGACATCACCTCCTCTGCACCTGCCACAGACTGGACAGGACTGTTTCACTGACATCACCTCCTCTGCACCAGCCACAGACTGGACAGGACTGTTTCACTGACATCACCTCCTCTGCACCAGCCACAGACTGGACAGGACTGTTTTCACTGACATCACCTCCTCTGCACCTGCCACAGACGGGACAGGACTGTTTCACTGACATCACCTCCTCTGCACCTGCCACAGACGGGACAGGACTGTTTCACTGACATCACCTCCTCTGCACCAGCCACAGACTGGACAGGACTGTTTCACTGACATCACCTCCTCTGCACCAGCCACAGACTGGACAGGACTGTTTCACTGACATCACCTCCTCTGCACCAGCCACAGACTGGACAGGACTGTTTCACTGACATCACCTCCTCTGCACCTGCCACAGACTGGACAGGACTGTTTCACTGACATCACCTCCTCTGCACCAGCCACAGACTGGACAGGACTGTTTCACTGACATCACCTCCTCTGCACCAGCCACAGACTGGACAGGACTGTTTCACTGACATCACCTCCTCTGCACCTGCCACAGACTGGACAGGACTGTTTCACTGACATCACCTCCTCTGCACCTGCCACAGACTGGACAGGACTGTTTCACTGACATCACCTCCTCTGCACCAGCCACAGACGGGACAGGACTGTTTCACTGACATCACCTCCTCTGCACCTGCCACAGACTGGACAGGACTGTTTCACTGACATCACCTCCTCTGCACCAGCCACAGACGGGACAGGACTGTTTCACTGACATCACCTCCTCTGCACCTGCCACAGACGGGACAGGACTGTTTCACTGACATCACCTCCTCTGCACCAGCCACAGACTGGACAGGACTGTTTCACTGACATCACCTCCTCTGCACCTGCCACAGACTGGACAGGACTGTTTCACTGACATCACCTCCTCTGCACCAGCCACAGACTGGACAGGACTGTTTCACTGACATCACCTCCTCTGCACCAGCCACAGACTGGACAGGACTGTTTCACTGACATCACCTCCTCTGCACCTGCCACAGACTGGACAGGACTGTTTCACTGACATCACCTCCTCTGCACCTGCCACAGACGGGACAGGACTGTTTCACTGACATCACCTCCTCTGCACCAGCCACAGACTGGACAGGAGGACTGTTTCACTGACATCACCTCCTCTGCACCAGCCACAGCTGGACAGGACTGTTTCACTGACATCACCTCCTCTGCACCAGCCACAGACTGGACAGGACTGTTTCACTGACATCACCTCCTCTGCACCAGCCACAGACTGGACAGGACTGTTTCACTGACATCACCTCCTCTGCACCTGCCACAGACTGGACAGGACTGTTTCACTGACATCACCTCCTCTGCACCTGCCACAGACGGGACAGGACTGTTTCACTGACATCACCTCCTCTGCACCAGCCACAGACTGGACAGGACTGTTTCACTGACATCACCTCCTCTGCACCTGCCACAGACGGGACAGGACTGTTTCACTGACATCACCTCCTCTGCACCTGCCACAGACGGGACAGGACTGTTTCACTGACATCACCTCCTCTGCACCTGCCACAGACGGGACAGGACTGTTTCACTGACATCACCTCCTCTGCACCTGCCACAGACTGGACAGGACTGTTTCACTGACATCACCTCCTCTGCACCTGCCACAGACTGGACAGGACTGTTTCACTGACATCACCTCCTCTGCACCTGCCACAGACTGGTGAAGTCAATAATTCCCTTTGACTGACGTATCCAAAGTCGATGCAAGAGCGAGACAAGAGATCTTCACGTTTAACATCTGCATTTAATTATCTTTACAATCAGATACAGAATGTTCAACAAAAGTGCTCCTATTCTAGGCCTGCTCTTCCCCTGTCCGTGCCCTGTCCTGTCTGACCTCAAAAAACACACACAGGGGCTCATGAGGGAGACTTCCGATGACGTCATCCTTATGCGTCCAAGGGGTGGAGTTTCCGGGTGTGCTGACGTCCCCTATCCACTGGGAGGCGTCAGAATGCAGTTGGTGAATCTCCCAGTCTGCCTCAAGATTCAGGTTCTGAACTCTTGTCCTCGTCAAAATGTTTATTATTTAAAGTTAATAATTCGCCCTGTTTAAACAGCATTTTATCTTTATGACTCATGTCTGATTATCCTGTGTCCTTGGGGTTTTTCCTGAGTGCACAGAGGTCTTTCTGGCTATGATGTTCAAATGGTCAAATATTAAAATATACAACACTGGACAGGACTGTTTCACTGACATCACCTCCTCTGCACCAGCCACAGACTGGACAGGACTGTTTCACTGACATCACCTCCTCTGCACCTGCCACAGACTGGACAGGACTGTTTCACTGACATCACCTCCTCTGCACCTGCCACAGACGGGACAGGACTGTTTCACTGACATCACCTCCTCTGCACCTGCCACAGACTGGACAGGACTGTTTCACTGACATCACCTCCTCTGCACCTGCCACAGACTGGACAGGACTGTTTCACTGACATCACCTCCTCTGCACCTGCCACAGACTGGACAGGACTGTTTCACTGACATCACCTCCTCTGCACCTGCCACAGACTGGACAGGACTGTTTCACTGACATCACCTCCTCTGCACCAGCCACAGACTGGACAGGACTGTTTCACTGACATCACCTCCTCTGCACCTGCCACAGACTGGACAGGACTGTTTCACTGACATCACCTCCTCTGCACCTGCCACAGACTGGACAGGACTGTTTCACTGACTACACATCACCTCCTCTGCACCTGCCACAGACTGGACAGGACTGTTTCACTGACATCACCTCCTCTGCACCTGCCACAGACTGGACAGGACTGTTTCACTGACATCACCTCCTCTGCACCAGCCACAGACTGGACAGGACTGTTTCACTGACATCACCTCCTCTGCACCTGCCACAGACTGGACAGGACTGTTTCACTGACATCACCTCCTCTGCACCAGCCACAGACTGGACAGGACTGTTTCACTGACATCACCTCCTCTGCACCAGCCACAGACTGGACAGGACTGTTTCACTGACATCACCTCCTCTGCACCTGCCACAGACTGGACAGGACTGTTTCACTGACATCACCTCCTCTGCACCTGCCACAGACTGGACAGGACTGTTTCACTGACATCACCTCCTCTGCACCTGCCACAGACTGGACAGGACTGTTTCACTGACATCACCTCCTCTGCACCTGCCACAGACTGGACAGGACTGTTTCACTGACATCACCTCCTCTGCACCAGCCACAGACTGGACAGGACTGTTTCACTGACATCACCTCCTCTGCACCTGCCACAGACTGGACAGGACTGTTTCACTGACATCACCTCCTCTGCACCAGCCACAGACTGGACAGGACTGTTTCACTGACATCACCTCCTCTGCACCTGCCACAGACTGGACAGGACTGTTTCACTGACATCACCTCCTCTGCACCAGCCACAGACTGGACAGGACTGTTTCACTGACATCACCTCCTCTGCACCTACCACAGACGGGACAGGACTGTTTCACTGACATCACCTCCTCTGCACCTGCCACAGACGGGACAGGACTGTTTCACTGACATCACCTCCTCTGCACCAGCCACAGACTGGACAGGACTGTTTCACTGACATCACCTCCTCTGCACCTGCCACAGACGGGACAGGACTGTTTCACTGACATCACCTCCTCTGCACCAGCCACAGACTGGACAGGACTGTTTCACTGACATCACCTCCTCTGCACCAGCCACAGACTGGACAGGACTGTTTCACTGACATCACCTCCTCTGCACCAGCCACAGACTGGACAGGACTGTTTCACTGACATCACCTCCTCTGCACCTGCCACAGACGGGACAGGACTGTTTCACTGACATCACCTCCTCTGCACCTGCCACAGACTGGACAGGACTGTTTCACTGACATCACCTCCTCTGCACCTACCACAGACTGGACAGGACTGTTTCACTGACATCACCTCCTCTGCACCAGCCACAGACGGGACAGGACTGTTTCACTGACATCACCTCCTCTGCACCTACCACAGACTGGACAGGACTGTTTCACTGACATCACCTCCTCTGCACCGCCACAGACTGGACAGGACTGTTTCACTGACATCACCTCCTCTGCACCTGCCACAGACTGGACAGGACTGTTTCACTGACATCACCTCCTCTGCACCAGCCACAGACTGGACAGGACTGTTTCACTGACATCACCTCCTCTGCACCTGCCACAGACGGGACAGGACTGTTTCACTGACATCACCTCCTCTGCACCTGCCACAGACGGGACAGGACTGTTTCACTGACATCACCTCCTCTGCACCTGCCACAGACGGGACAGGACTGTTTCACTGACATCACCTCCTCTGCACCTGCCACAGACTGGACAGGACTGTTTCACTGACATCACCTCCTCTGCACCAGCCACAGACTGGACAGGACTGTTTCACTGACATCACCTCCTCTGCACCAGCCACAGACTGGACAGGACTGTTTCACTGACATCACCTCCTCTGCACCTGCCACAGACTGGACAGGACTGTTTCACTGACATCACCTCCTCTGCACCTGCCACAGACTGGACAGGACTGTTTCACTGACATCACCTCCTCTGCACCTGCCACAGACTGGACAGGACTGTTTCACTGACATCACCTCCTCTGCACCAGCCACAGACTGGACAGGACTGTTTCACTGACATCACCTCCTCTGCACCTGCCACAGACTGGACAGGACTGTTTCACTGACATCACCTCCTCTGCACCGCCACAGACTGGACAGGACTGTTTCACTGACATCACCTCCTCTGCACCTGCCACAGACTGGACAGGACTGTTTCACTGACATCACCTCCTCTGCACCAGCCACAGACTGGACAGGACTGTTTCACTGACATCACCTCCTCTGCACCAGCCACAGACTGGACAGGACTGTTTCACTGACATCTCCTCCTCTGCACCAGCCACAGACTGGACAGGACTGTTTCACTGACATCACCTCCTCTGCACCACCACAGACTGGACAGGACTGTTTCACTGACATCACCTCCTCTGCACCAGCCACAGACTGGACAGGACTGTTTCACTGACATCACCTCCTCTGCACCAGCCACAGACTGGACAGGACTGTTTCACTGACATCTCCTCCTCTGCACCAGCCACAGACTGGACAGGACTGTTTCACTGACATCACCTCCTCTGCACCTGCCACAGACTGGACAGGACTGTTTCACTGACATCACCTCCTCTGCACCAGCCACAGACTGGACAGGACTGTTTCACTGACATCACCTCCTCTGCACCAGCCACAGACTGGACAGGACTGTTTCACTGACATCACCTCCTCTGCACCAGCCACAGACTGGACAGGACTGTTTCACTGACATCACCTCCTCTGCACCAGCCACAGACTGGACAGGACTGACCCGCTGGCTCCATCAAGCGTACAGTAGATACATCTAAAAGTTACAGTAGTAATAAGAAAAGATAAAGGGCTCGGTTGGACCTCGATCCCATGTCCTCTCCTCCCCCTGATGTCTGCTGTCGTTGTGTCCCTGGGCAAGACACTTCACCCCACTTTGCCTGAACCCCCCACTGAAACACCAAGGCCGTATCATCCTGTGAACTCACCACCTACAGGAGGATCAGCGAGGGACTGGTGCCATGAGCCCCACCCCCCTGACCCGACCCGACCCGACCCGACCCGACCCGACCCGACCCGACCCGACCCAACCCGACCCAGAGATTGATTTTAAAAAAGGGATGAAAATTAAGGCAAGGCAAGTTTATTTATATAGCACAATTCATACACAAGGAAACTCAAAGTGCTGAACAAAACAAGAAAGCATTAAAATCATAAATAATCACAGAACATTAAAAAGAAAGATAAAAATATAAAATCCCTCAGTTGTAGCACAGCTAAACAGAACTGTCTTTAACCTGGTTTTAAACATTGTCAGAGAGGAGGCCTGTCTCACATCTTCAGGAAGACTGTTCCAGATTTTAGCAGCATGAATCTGAAAAGCAGCCTCCCCATGTTTAGTCCTGACTCTGGGCACTAACAGGAGTCCAGTCCCTGTGCTCCTCAGAGTCCCAGCAGGAGGCCAGTCCCTGTGCTCCTCAGAGTCCCAGCAGGAGGCCAGTCCCTGTGCTCCTCAGAGTCCCAGCAGGAGTCCAGTCCCTGTGCTCCTCAGAGTCCCAGCAGGAGGCCAGTCCCTGTGCTCCTCAGAGTCCCAGCAGGAGTCCAGTCCCTGTGCTCCTCAGAGCCCCAGCAGGAGGCCAGTCCCTGTGCTCCTCAGAGTCCCAGCAGGAGTCCAGTCCCTGTGCTCCTCAGAGTCCCAGCAGGAGGCCAGTCCCTGTGCTCCTCAGAGTCCCAGCAGGAGGCCAGTCCCTGAGCTCCTCAGAGTCCCTGCAGGAGGCCAGTCCCTGTGCTCCTCAGAGTCCCTGCAGGAGGCCAGTCCCTGTGCTCCTCAGAGTCCCAGCAGGAGGCCAGTCCCTGTGCTCCTCAGAGTCCCAGCAGGAGGCCAGTCCCTGTGCTCCTCAGAGTCCCTGCAGGAGGCCAGTCCCTGTGCTCCTCAGAGTCCCAGCAGGAGTCCAGTCCCTGTGCTCCTCAGAGTCCCAGCAGGAGTCCAGTCCCTGTGCTCCTCAGAGTCCAGCAGGAGGCCAGTCCCTGTGCTCCTCAGAGTCCCTGCAGGAGGCCAGTCCCTGTGCTCCTCAGAGTCCCAGCAGGAGGCCAGTCCCTGTGCTCCTCAGAGTCCGGGATGGTTCATATGGTACTAACATGTCACTAATATATTTTGTTTTAAAGTCTATTCTCTGAGCCACAGGAAGCCAGTGCAGAGACCTGAGGACTGGACTAATGTGGTCGTACTTCCTGGTTCTAGTCAGGACTAATGTGGTCGTACTTCCTGGTTCTAGTCAGGACTAATGTGGTCGTACTTCCTGGTTCTAGTCAGGACTAATATGGTCGTACTTCCTGGTTCTAGTCAGGACTCGAGCTGCTGCATTTTGAATGTACTGCAGCTGTTTTACAGCCTGTTTGGACAGACCTGTGAGCAGGCCATTGCAGTAGTCTAACCTACTGGAGACAAATGCATGGATAAGAATCTCCAGGTCTGCTTTAGACACTATGTTTTTGATCCTGGCAATGTTTTTTAGATGGTAAAAAGCTGCTGATATTACTGATTTGATGTGGCTATTAAAATGTAAGTCTGAGTCCAGTATTACCCCTAGATTTCTGACCTTGTTTGAAGGTTTTAGGGAGAGAGACTGTAGGTGACAGATGACGCTCTCTCTTTGTTTCTGGGGACCAAAGACAATCATTTCAGTTTTGTCTGCGTTTAGCTGAAGGAAGTTGTTTTGCATCCACTCACTGATCTGTTGGATACAGTGAAGGAGTGAGTCCACTGGTCCATGTTCTCCTGCAGTCAGTGAGACATAGATCTGAGTGTCGTCTGCATAGTTGTGATAGGACACTTTGTTTCTGCGTATTAACTGACCTAACGGCAGCATGTAGAGATTGAACAGAAGAGGTCCCAGGATCGACCCCTGTGGTACTCCACAGGTCAGGGCCATATGATCTGAGACACAGTTTCCAATCTCCACAAAGTACTTCCTGTCTTCAAGGTAAGACCTAAACCAACTTAGGGCGGTGCCAGCGACGCCAACCCAGTCCTCTAGTCTCTGTAAGAGGATCTCATGGTCGACAGTGTCAAAGGCAGCACTCAGATCTAACAAGATTAAGATTGAGACTTTGCCTGCGTCAGTGTTCAGCCGGATATCGTTTGTAACCTTAACGAGAGCAGTCTCAGTGCTGTGGTGGGGTCTAAAGCCGGACTGAAACATATCAAATGAGTTGTTGATTATAAGAAATCTATTTAGCTGTTGGTAGACAACTTTTTCAAGGACTTTCCCCATAAATGGCAGATTTGAGATGGAACGATAGTTGTTAAGTACCGTAGCATCCAGACTGCTCTTTTTTAGCAGGGGCCTGATGACTGCAGTTTTCAGGGCCTTTGGGAATATTCCAGAATGAAGGGACATGTTTACTATCTGTGTGAGTGAAGGTAACAGACTGCTCAGAACAGACTTCAGAAATCTAGTGGGTAGTACATCCAGGCTGCATGTGGAGGAGCTCAAACTGGAGATTATCTCTTGGACAGTTTGATCATTTACAGGTGCAAAGTGAGTTAGCTCAGAGAGCCTTTCTGGCTGTTGGATTGTTATCTGTGGATTGGAGACAATGGCGTTTTTGATGCCTTGAACCTTGTCATTGAAAAAATTAGCAAACTCATTACATTTACATTAAATGACCAATGCCTCGGTGTGGAAACTCTGACACATTTCTGTCTCTGTAACGGCACAAAGCAAAGACCCCAGAGAGAGAGACCAGCGAGACCACAGAGAGAGAGACCAGCGAGACCATAGAGAGACCCCAGAGAGAGAGACCAGCGAGACCACAGAGAGAGAGACCAGCGAGACCAGAGAGACCCCAGAGAGAGAGACCAGCGAGACCATAGAGAGACCCCAGAGAGAGAGACCAGCGAGACCATAGAGAGACCCCAGAGAGAGAGACCAGCGAGACCACAGAGAGAGAGACCAGCGAGACCAGAGAGACCCCAGAGAGAGAGACCAGCGAGACCATAGAGAGACCCCAGAGAGAGAGACCAGCGAGACCATAGAGAGACCCCAGAGAGGGAGACCAGCGAGACCATAGAGAGACCCCAGAGAGAGAGACCAGCGAGACCACAGAGAGACCCCAGAGAGGGAGACCAGCGAGACCATAGAGAGACCCCAGAGAGAGACACCAGAGAGAGAGACCAGCGAGACCATAGAGAGACCCCAGAGAGAGAGACCAGCGAGACCATAGAGAGACCCCAGAGAGAGAGACCAGCGAGACCATAGAGAGACCCCAGAGAGAGAGACCAGCGAGACCATAGAGAGACCCCAGAGAGAGAGACCAGCGAGACCATAGAGAGACCCCAGAGAGAGAGACCAGCGAGACCATAGAGAGACCCCAGAGAGAGAGACCAGCAAGACCATAGAGAGACACCGGAGAGATCAGAGAGACCAGGGAGAGACACCAGAGAAAGACAGACCATGATATCAGAGAAAAACCAGAAAGCCAGAGAGAGAGAGATTGAAACCAGATAGACCTGAGAGAAAGAGACCAGAAAGAGAGCGCAGAGACAGAAGGACAAGAAAGCAAGACCAGAGAGACAGACCAGAAAGCGACCAGAGAGAGGCAGAGAGACCGGAGTGAGAGAGACCAGAAAGTGAGAGAGAAACCATAAGAACAAAGAAGATGTGTTAAGAGTTTTTGCTCTAACCCTGATGCCCCGTCTCACCCTCACAGAGACCCCCAGCACCAGTCGGTCCCGTACCATTACTACGAGCCCCATGGTCCAGACGAGTGCACCATGTTCGTGTCCCATGAGCGGGGCAGGCGCGGCAGTCATCACCGCTTCATCACCGAGAAGCGGGTCTTCGCCGGCTGGGCCCGGACCTTTGACATCCACTTCTACCAACCGGACTGGAGCCCCCCGCCGCTGCCGGCCAATCACACGGCAGAGGAGGCGGAGACTAGCTCGCCCCAGACGTGATGGCGGCTGTGGCGGCGGCGAGGACTAATGCAAACGGGAATAATAAAGAATGTGCAATAATCTTTTGTAACGGAGCCGAGGAGAGAGGGACGCATGAAGGTCATCTCTGCACCGGGAGGACTATGGGAGAGACCAGAGGGAGAGACCAGAGGGAGAGACCAGAGGGAGAGACCAGAGGGAGAGACCAGAGGGAGAGCAGAGAGAGACCAGAGAGAGACCAGAGAGAGACCAGAGGGAGAGACCAGAGGGAGACCAGAGGAAGAGACCAGAGGGAGACCAGAGAGAGACCAGAGAGAGACCAGAGGGAGAGACCAGAGAGAGACCAGAGGGAGAGACCAGAGGGAGACCAGAGAGAGACCAGAGGGAGAGACCAGAGGGAGACCAGAGAGAGACCAGAGAGAGACCAGAGAGAGACCAGAGAGAGACCAGAGGGAGACCAGAGGGAGACCAGAGGGAGACCAGAGACAGACCAGAGAGAGACCAGAGAGA